AACAGAACTTGCCCAACCAAACCACCAACGATTAACAAGATATTTTCGTCAATATACCCTATAATATCTCAAAAACATATTTATCATTTCGCTTACACTTGTTTTTCCTCTTTTTCTTTTCTCCCACCTTTTCTTCTTCTTGGCTCTTATTTTTTACCATTTTTGTTACCTTTATGCATTGCTTAATAGATCCAGTGTTCGAGAAACTGCGTATTGCTGGCAGTCTAAGTTACTGCCCTGTACTGTATTCGTTCCTACTATTGTTTGCTTTCTCGCAGTTTATGAGGATACTTTAATCACCACTCTTCACTATTCTACAGGTATGCAGTCGTTGTTGTCAGGTAGCTATAGCTGACAAGACGAAACCAAAAACTTGTCAAGATTGCCAAAAATGCGGTAAATTATCAACATTAGCTGCAGTGTCAATAGCAGCAGTAACAGAAAGACCGATTAGAGCAGTAATCTTGCCAGCATTAAGAAATCATTAGCCCATTGAAAGCAACAGCGGTATCACCACCAGCAGTAGTAGTTACAGCAACTGCAGCAGCATTAGCAACGACAACAGAGGCCACTAAGAACTCATAAAATTGAAGAACAAAAGAAGATTTTGAAAGGTTTAGTAAGTTTTACACTTCTGTCATGCTATATTTTTCTATATCTCTCTTTTGTTTTTCTATACTTTTTTTGTACAGTAACAGCGGTAACAGCAGGTTGAGCCTTAGCATTATCAGTATCAGCGGTAGTAACAGCAGGTACAGCAGCAGCAGCAGCAGCAGCAGCAGAAGTAGAAACAACAATAGCAGCGCCATTTTTTGCTGCCAATATAGACCGACTGAACTGGATATACATGTGTATGGATTGATTATTTCTCAAATGAAATTGACATTTTCAGTGAGTGAAAAGATAAAGCGCAAAAGAGGGAGGAAAAAAAGCAAGGAACCACAATGCCCACTTTTTGCTGGTAATCAAAAATGTCAACCTGAAGTGTTAAGTAATTTATTTTCGCCAAAAAATGTTGCATGAAAACACATGCATAAAATGCTTTTTTTAGGTTTTATCGTTATCATCATCGTCATCATTATCAACAACATCATCATCATAACCACCGTCAACATCATCACCACTGTCATCATCGTCATCATCATCATAACCATCATTATCATCATCATCATCATCACCATCATCATCATCACCACCA